AAAAAAAAAGGATCTCCAATGCACTTTTCAGGGTTGAGGTGGTTAACCAGGGCTGAAAAGTTGGGGTCCCTGTTAACCGCTTATGCTGCTCGTGCGCCATACCAGCAGTAGTTTCCCTTTTCTTTTTCTTTTCTTGGCTGTTTTTGTAGATACAGAAGAGTGCACCACCTAAGTCACAGATATTTTTCAAGTACAATCGTACAGAAATGGGCAAGGCAGCCCACGCAGGATCAACTGGCACGCTACGGGTCTCCAAATAGTAAGTTGGAATGTCAAAGGTCTAGGAAACATTCTAGCTGAAGAAGACAAAATCAGAGATATCCGGACGGGCCTGGTGGGGAAAGACCATCCCAGACCCCATCTGATACTTCTCCAAGAGACCCATCTGTCCAATCTGAACAATCACACCAGAATACAGCAAAGGGTGGAGAGAACAGGAGGGGGATGTGCATTCACGCTATGGTCCAACAAAGATGGCCAAAGCAAAAGAGGGACTGCAATCCTCATACCAAAAACATCCAAGATTCTGACCAAAGGCCAGATCTTGCACAGCGAGGGTGACAATGAGGAAGGTAGATGGTCATGGTTACACATAAGATGGCAACAAGAAGAAGACTTGAGAATTCTCAACCTATATGCACCTAACGCGGAACTCGAAAGACTGACCTTCTTCAAGAACATCAAACCCTCATCCCCAACCCACAACCGGCAATCATTGCAGGAGACTGGAACACAACCCTAGACCGGATATCAAGGCCAGTAATAATGGGTCCAACAAGAGCGGGAACCGGGATACGGAATCTGATGACAGAATTTAAACTCATCAATCCACTCAGGGCACTGCATCCGGATAAAAGAGTCTTCTCCCGTATAAAAAAGGACCAAGCCAATCGGATATCACTTTCCAGGATTGACTACTTCCTCGTATCTGAGAGCCTACAAGGCGCAGTCAAAGAAGCCGAAATCCGTCCATCTGCAGCATTCAAAGGACTGGACCGTAAACCCATTCATTTGCTGCTCAACTTCAATTCTGCAGCCGAAACAGGTCAGGGTTTTTTCAGGCTGAACAACTCCCCCTTAACAACGGAGAGGCTGTCTGTTGCTGTCAAAGAAAACTGGTCCTTCCACAAACAGCGAGAGTTCAAACAGACAAATAGATACCAATGGTTCATAGACAGTCGCGCAAACTAACACAAACAGTATCAGCTATTGTGTCCGCATTGAAGAAATGTGACAAAGTCTTCGAATCATTGTCCAATGCTTGAATCAAATGCCTAGTGGCATGATCAAAGCGGATGAACGTAAACTTTGTCCTCCTTCACGCTCTCAAATGAAACAATCCATGGAATCCTTAATTCATCACTTTCACGAGGTATAGCTGGAGACCGCAAGAGGAGAAGGGAGGAAATCCAATTCGCCATCTCAGTCGCAGAATCTAACCTGGCAGAGGACCCCTCTAGCGAATTCTACCAGGAGCTCGCACAAGGATGACGGACTACTCACTCAAACGAATCCATGACTAAATTCTTCTTCTCCAGGATCAAAGCGAATGCAAGGAACGACATGATAGAGGGCCTCAAAGACCCAACAGATCAAAGGAACAACAAAACAGCAGGTTCAGAGATGGTTACTATAGCCAGGGCATTCTACACAGACCTATACGAATCTAAGACCACCTCACCCCCAACTACAGCAAGCAGCCCGTCAACTCATGTTGTCATACCTTGACAAGACGATCTCGACAACCCAAGCGGAAGGCCTGGACAAGCCCCTAGCCCTAGCTGAGCAACACGTAGCCCTGACCCAGATGGGAAATGACAAAGCTCCGGGCATTGACGACCTCTCAAAAAGAATTTTGGAGCTGCTTATGGCCGACCCTAGGAGAGGACCTGCTCGATTTTTTCAACTACAGCAGGCAAAAAGGAGGCCTCGGCAGTGAACTAAGCACCAGTGTGGTATCATTGTGGCATAAGAAAGGAGCCAAAGAAGACCTAAAGAACTACAGAACCATATCCCTACTCACCACCCCGTACAAAATCCTCGCTAAGGCTCTTGCGAATAGAATCACAAAACTAATGAATAAATGCTTTCACACCGACCAACCAGGCTTTATCCCAGGCCGATACATACTAGACAACTTGATATCACTGCCTGCATGGAAAAAATGGGAGTACGCCCGAACTTCAGAGATTGGGTGAAAGTCCTTTATTCAGACGCAACAGGCAGAGTCCAGGTCAATAGGATCCTGTCGGAGACCTACCCGATATCAAGATCGGGCAGACAAGGCGACCCATTCGCTTCGCCCATATTCCTCTTCATTATGGAAGCCATAGCTTCCTTCCTTCGGAAAGACCCGTCCATAGACCACCTTACTGAACGCAACTTCAATCCATTACACGACTTCGCTCTACCCTCTGCACTAATGTTCGCCGATGACCCTATTGTCCTCATTCGCGCCAATAATTGTTCGTTACAAGCCCTCGTAAGAGCAACGGAAGCCTTCAGACTGGCATCAGAAACGAAGGTCAATTGGGGGAAAACTGAAGGTTGGTGGTAAGCAGACGGCACCCCTCCCCAACCAACCGATACAGCCACACCCATGCCATGGACAACGGGAGATCAAGCACTGCGTTTCCTTGGTATCATGGTTTACAAGGACGGGTTATGGCCAGGTATGGGTCAGAACCTAGTTGCCAGGGAAATCACCCACTTGGCCCCATGCAAAAACGCTCAGGCTTCACTAATCGGACGAGCTCTACTAATTAATACGGCGATCTTCTCCACAATGTGGTATATGGCATCCATCTGGTCTCCCCCTGACGACGACCTCAAGACTTTAAAGAACAGGGCGAGATGTTATGTATGCACAGGAGACCCCAATAGGACCACATGTATCAACAGGGTAGCCTGGAACCACATTATTAGGAAACCACAGGAGGGGGGCCTTGGGCTAATTGACCTCAAACAGGAGTCCATAGGACTGCAGATGAAATGGATTATCAAGATCCTGATTAGACAATTCATTCCATGGACCCAGATGGCTCTAGACAGCATCAGAAACCTCGCACCTATCTACTCCCCCCCGAATATGAGAGGCCTCTTCTGGTTAATGGCGAAGGACAATCAAATCAGGCACACCTCGCAGAAGAAACCCAGCAGAGCCTATCACAACCCCCACCCATACAGCTATCTCTTACTGGAGCCCTGCCATCAAAGCCTGGCGCAGAATGATGCCAAGCAAACACTAGACACCAGGAAACAGAGAAGAGGTCCTGAGACAACCTCTCTTCTGCAACCCCTGGATCATAGACCCTAGTGACGTGTCATGGACACTATGCACAAAGTGTCCGGAGATGGCTGTCCTGGGTGGAAAAAGGGGTGTGGCAGGTGAAACACATCTGGGCAGAAGATCGAGCACGATGGTCAACAGAACAGGAGCTCCAAAATGATTTAAAAGGCTGCCACTCCTTACTGAAAACCTAACATTGATTCAGAAGAGAATTCCAACACAGTGGCTCTCCCTCCTAAGGGAGGATTTTTCGTGGAAGTCCGGGAATTGTCTCAGGACCCCAGACTCAAAGGAAAATGGAGGGAGATTCTGAATCTAGACCCCGCGGAGCCCATTTCCATCCCTTGGACAAAGTACCTGTCTATTAGACCAGTTAGGATCCGAAGCATGCACCGGCTGGTAGCGCACGCATTTCTGCCGGTCAATCAATGGCTCCACAAGAGGAGGAAATATACAGACCCCGAGAACTCCGAATTATGCAGATTGTGCACAGACAACATCCCGAAAGATATACCCCACTGCCTCCTGTATTGCACTGAAGCAGAATGGATATGGAGCACGGCCTATGGTCCCTCCTCTTCTCATCACCCCCTCTGTCCACAACTCCTCTGAGCATCCTGCTCCTATCAAACAATACTAACAATCTCAAAGGCGGCAAGGAAGTCTGGTTTCATCTGCTCAGGAAGCTGGCTCTATTGGTAATCTGGAAAGGAGGTGTTCCAAGACTATCGAGGGTACCGAGGTCGCAAGGGAAGAAATTTGGGTTCTACTGCTGGGAATGGCGGAAACTAAGATTCGATCCAGATGGAGGGAGGTGACATCAACAACGAAAGTCAGACCAGAAGGACTAACGACCAAAAGATGGTCTTTCGTGAGAAACTGGCTTCTACAGGGAAAGATTGCAACTGTGGCAGATAACAGATTGATTTGGAAGAAATGGCGCAGCTCAACTCCAGCAAGGACGATGACCCAGTGATGGGCACAATCTCAACAATATAGACAACTCTCCTCTTTTCTTGCTTTACACGGACCATCTGACAGAGTCGCAGTAGATTCTGAGAGGAAAAGTGGTAGGGCAAGCTGGCAGTCAATCCTCCTGCTCTGGAGCAATCAATGCTGGTCAGGGTTCCTTCGGCCAGACGGAAGGAAGTGTGAGAGTGTTCACCATGTATTTCAATTCTTGACTTGCCGGTGGAAAGGAACCCGACTGACGCTCCCCAGAATGGATATGGAGCCAGGAAGATAAGGACCTGTTTCAAGGGGGCAAAAAAAAAAAAGAGAAATAGCCTCAAATAGGTGTCTGGGACATCCGTCTTGAGTCTTGACCTTTACGTAGCCGCATTACCCTCCCGCTAGGGTTTTTTTTTCCCCCCATCCCACAACAAATCTTCAAAGGGGCGCAGGTGACCATTAACCCAATACTTCCCCCGTGCGCCACACATGCTTTGCACCGCACCATGCGGGTCTGCTCGTGTGCCGAACATGTGGAATTTTCCGCAAGGCGTGCACTTGCATGGATGGTTCAAAACCAAAAAGTTCATAAACAAAAAGAACACGGAAAACAGGTAACGGATCACGCATCGCGGACATTATTATTTATGTTATTAATCATATTAGTGTTCACGTTATATATCAATATACATAACAATGATTATACAATAAATCAGGGATCCAACAATGTCAACTATATTAATGTTTATGTTTATTACTACATTCACAATTTAAAATATACTAATTAATCATAAACAACAGATCAGGGATTCACAATTGTGTTATCTACGCCAACAAATGGGCTCAAATGGGCTCTCATCGGTCAAACAATAAAGCCGCAGAACAAGGTTTGGAGGGCTATGGGAGAGAGACCCGAAAAGCCTATCCAGTACAGTCCACTGCAATTTGCTCCAGAATTGTCGGAACGAGATCTGAATGACCATGAAAGTGCAAGACTTAAACGACAACATAGCAAAAAGCAAAAGAAGTACAAGTCATGCTACCGTAGGAAGGAAGCTCGGCAAAAGACATGCAAGTTCAAGGTGATGGCTACACAGTGAATATACACACCTCCGCGTTGTAAACAGTGATGGTATTCCCTGATACCAAGTTATAATCATTGCCTTTCTGAGGTGTGAATGCTATCAGTTCAGTATCTGCAAACATCCAGCGCACGCGCGTGCGCACACACACACACACACACACACACACACACACACACACACACACACACACACA